GGGATGTATACCATCAAACTGATGATCAAAGAATATTGTGTCAGTCACAATAGAATACATTGCTTTCAACACGGAAGGAACACCACCAAGAAGAAAACTTACAGCACAACCAATACGCACTATAACACAAACATCAAGCAACAACATTATCATAAAAAAAATATTAGTACCAATAGAAGTATCCAAACAAGAGACAATGTATGTCCCTAATAAGCAAGACAACAGGTGTTATTTATATGATCTAATGACACACCTAATATACACTTGTACCAAAGACACAGTCCAGCCGTACTGCATGTAGACCGAACGTTCCCTAGCAGCAGAAGTGGGGACTGTGCAACTTCACCATAGATTTACACACGAACATTAGTTTCAGTTGAAGAAAGAGTGGAATACATTTTAGTTAATCAGTTGAAAGAATGGCCCGAGCTAAACTTAATTTAATTATTTTTAATTCATCAGTACACCCATCGCACAAGCCATACACTATTAGCTTCTGTCCTAGTGAGTGTTTTTAAGACTAATAATCAAAAGTTAGTAAATATTTATTTAATAAATATTTTATTAAATATTTTGATAGGTTAAAATTGGCTCTTCAAAGAAACTGAAGATGTATTTACAAGCGCAAGAAAGTTCTCAGGTGCTTCTTTTCTGTTAATTTCTTCAGTGTTGTATTGTTTACAAATATATAACTAAGAGTTTTATGGTAGCTCCCACGCACAGGTACACTGTATATTCCTGGTAGCAAATGCTTCAACTTGATATAAAGTTCCTACAACGATCAAACCAGTCACCAAAATATATTGCGGAAGAGGTGATTTAATTCATGGATGAATTAATTTAAACCTCTGGAACAAATACTGTTTAACCAAGGATCTGTGTTGATAAAGTGTTTAGAGTGCTCCAACTGAGTCTTCAGAATACACAGGTACAGGCTCATTCTGCGTCCAATTTTCCAATGCCATAAAAGAGTAATAAATATTACGCTGCTCTCACGACTTACGCTCATTTACTGCTGAATACCCATTAAAATGGGTGTTTTGCATCACTTAGCGGTAAATGACGAGGTCATGAGATGAAGAATCAATGGCAGACTCTGTTTTCAGATATAAATATGCATTATGTGTTTTGTTTTAATTGATGATGGGCAATATTTTCTGACAGATTGAAGGAGTGAAAAAGGTAAACATATCTTTCGCTGAATGATATCTGCAGTGTAAGGAAAATGTATTGAGGATTGTGTAAAATTACTTTGCATATGGAAGAGTTGACATTTAACTCGGACATTTGCGTCAGAGCTTCGTAGGGACTCAAAAAAAGACGTTGAGCACAGATGGCGCTTACACAAGGATATCTGAGCTCATTGGGCGCTCAAGCAATGGCGTTAGAGCACAGGTATGACTCAGGTAAGGACGTATGTGCTTAGATGTGGTTCAGGCAAGCACGCCAGAGCTCAGATGTGGCTAGAGCAAGGACGTCAGATCTCAGGTGAGGGTTCAGACAAGGACGTCAGATCTCAGATGAGGGTTCAGACAAGGACGTCAGATCTCAGGTGAGGGTTCAGACAAGGACGTCAGAGCTCAGGTGAGGGGATCGAACAAGGACGCCAGAGAGCTGCTGTGGGTGAGAGGAGCAGAAAAATGACATAATCACACTTAGTGTTAAGCAATATATTGTCTGGATCATTGCAACGCTGACCAAGTAACTCATATCAAAGCATACGAACCTAAGTGCGTATCAAGTACACTCATTGTATCAGAACACACGAACCTAAGATATAAATCACGAAGTCAGTTTCGTTCAGTTCACAATCTCAATTTATAAGCTCCAACAATAGACAAAATGTGCAATTTTATACCTTCCAATACCATGACTGTTGTAAGAGCTCGAGTGATGAAGATTCAACGAGGATAGTTAAGCAAATTCCTGGTATCATCATCACAAAGTACGCATCATTGGGTTTAAATAGGCAAGTCATGATCTAGTCTACACTGATACCGCCAGATGCCTCGTAGATATTGATTACTGGTCACTGAATAGAGAAGACTAGCCTGCAGTTCTCCCATACTATGCAGTTCTTCTGACGAGTGAAAGTCACACGTCTTGAGATCAAATAAATATTCACTATGTCGTGTTAGATGGTAAGGTTTGTTATGTATACACCTTGATAGGCGAGTTACATGAGTGTTTGTCTTACTAAAAGGCAGTTAGACAGGCGACCATAAAAGCTTTAAAATCATACGAGTTTTAATGTAAAAACACAGTAGTTGCTCTATCTCTCACTAGGTTATGCGGTATATTTCATAAAAAAAATAATGATGCGTTTTAGAGACTAGTTACTGTATATAATGTACAGTTATTGCTAAATATTATTTGTCATCCGTGTTCATTTTAATGAGAACTGGAAACATTATATTGCAAGTGCGAGAGGTGAAATCTCAAGAGTTATTTCAGACTGCCAGAGAATTTTCTAAAATATGACTGAGGAAGACAGTGAATTTGCAACTAGGCGCCAGATATTACTAAAGATTGGAACTTTTTTTATTACTTTTCTAAATACAGAAATGCACTTAACAGACAGCTTTCTTATCATTATATACAAAGGCATAATAATATTAACTTTCTTAAAATGCAAAACTGAAAAAAAAAATAAAGTAAAAGTTTGGCAGCCACTTCTGAAGGTCCTCTCAGGTCCTTGTGATCCACACGTTCCTAAGTAATTAATTTTAAATACTACGTGTAGCCAATCCCCACGCTTAATTGTCGATGATATTAATTTATTAATAACAGGTAAAACACTATATACTCTCATAAACAAACCGAATTATAAACGAAACAACAAATAGCAGAGTGTATGAGTTGAAGCAGAAGGTAATGTGTAACCAGTGGAACCAGGACTCCAAATACTTGGCAAAGTTGTGCACTCAAATCCCGCAAAGTAAATTTAGTCTTGCCACTGGTATTATAACTTCAGCCACTCCTCTTGTAACCTAGGCTATTGTCCAACCTATAGTGCTCACTAGACACATTATATAATAAAGCCTAAAGGGATGGGGGGATATGAATAAGACATACATGAAACACTTGGGTATGTTTAATAAAGAAAGGTTTGGCCTACCAGTGTCTTGATCAGTCCAGTGCAGAGAACAGCGGAGGACGGGAGGGGGGGGGGGGAAGGAATGAAGAGGCAATCAGCTCCTCAGCCTAGAGATGACGGGTTCAGTCCATCATCAGCCTAGAGATAACGGGTTCAGTCCGTCATCAGCCTAGAGATGACGGGTTCAGTTCGTCATCAGCCTAGAGATGACGGTTCAGTTCGTCATCAGCCTAGAGATGACGGGTTCAGTTCGTCATCAGCCTAGAGATGACGGGTTCAGTTCGTCATCAGCCTAGAGATGACGGGTTCAGTCCGTCATCAGCCTAGAGATGACGGGTTCAGTCCGTCATCAGCCTAGAGATGATGGGTTCAGTCCGTCATCAGCCTAGAGATGACGGGTTCAGTCCGTCATCAGCCTAGAGATGATGGGTTCAGTCCGTCATCAGCCTAGAGATGATGGGTTCAGTCCGTCGTCAGCCTAGAGATGACGGGTTCAGTCCGTCGTCAGCCTAGAGATGACGGGTTCAGTCCGTCGTCAGCCTAGAGATGACGGGTTCAGTCCGTCGTCAGCCTAGAGATGACGGGTTCAGTCCGTCGTTAGCCTAGAGATGACGGGTTCAGTCCGTCGTCAGCCTAGAGATGACGGGTTCAGTCCGCCATCAGCTTAGAGATGACGGGTTCAGTCCGTCGTCAGCCTAGAGATGACGGGTTCAGTGTGTCATCAGCCTAGAGATGACGGGTTCAGTCTGTCATCAGCCTAGAGATGACGGGTTCAGTCTGTCATCAGCCTAGAGATGACGGATTCATTCCGTCAGCCTTGTTAAAAGCTGCTGTCGATAGGGACCTCTGAGTACCTTAAACATCCGAGTCATGTCTTCCTTCGTTCCTCTTTCCAATATTCTAAGATGTTTTATTTGGTATGTAATAATAGGGAAGGCAAGGATAGGGAGGGGAAGGACTGGGGTAGGATAGAGCAGTGAAAATTTGTGGTTAGGAAGAAGAGACAAGAAAGCTTTAGTGACCTGATCATTTTTTGGGGGTTTTAGAAGAATTCTTTTTTTTTTTTTTTACTTAATGACGAGTGTAAACAAATAACCCGCACTTGAGAGATGAAACTTGTATTGACGTTTCGGTTTTATCTTGGACCACTGTCATGTCACAACCGAACATGACAGTTGTCCAGAACGGACCGAATCGTCGTCATAAGTTTCCCTCTTAAATGTGGATTATCTGCATAATGTTCGAGCCACAGTTCTAGTTCTACTAGGTTTGCCAGTCTTGTCCCGGCCCGGGTCTCTAACACAGTGTGACCTGGCGTTGGCCCCCCGAGTGGGGGGGGGGTGTCACTCTTAGTATTGTGACTGTATTGTTTGGTGACGAGTGATTTTTATCCGGTGTTATATGGTGTAGTTCCCTCAGTGTTTCTTTGTAGATCGTTCCTCTTAGCTCCGAGACTAGTCGTCTTGCAGGAAATATTTGGACTGTCTCTTGTTTCTATACAGTATTTTCCACAAGAAGGCTCCGTGCCAGAGTCTCCACTTTTTCATTTTGCTACTTTCCACTTAATCATCATCCTAAGCCTGAAAAAGTTCTTCCTAGCATCCCTATGGCTTCTCTTTAGCTGCCTTCCGAGTCTCTTAGCACCTCTCGTCACATCTCATATCTTATCCATTACATAGAATCCAGTGAATATGTTTTATATCGTCATCATGTGTTAGTGGTGTAACTGGGCGTTGTTTATGCATTGTAAACTCCTTAAGTATGCATTAAATTTAATATATGTATAATCTTTAATATATATATTTCCTTGTCTTCTCGGGTTTGTAGGAGTGGCATATACCTGAGCGTAATGTAGTCCTGAGCTCGAAAAGGCGATGGTCAGTGTGATCGCTTGGTGCTATTTTTGTGTCACTTGCTTGCCAGTCCCCCCAGTCCCTCCCAACTTCCACATTGGTGTTGGAGCTAACTGACCTGGTACGTTGCTTGCCGCTCACCTTCAGACGCGCTCCGGTGGGTGCTTCACACGGTGGTGTTCTGGTGGTAGTGCAGTGAAGCGTGTCGTAAGTTCTATCTCTCATTAGTAGCCCCGTCTGGGCAAACTTGTCATGAATTCCTTAATGTGCTTCTCCTTTCCATGTCATTTTACGCAAAGTGAATTATTGTATATTAAGTTCCGTTCAGTCAACACTTGAAGGTGTTTCAAGGCTATCGACTGGACTGTCACAGTCATTGAGGTCGCAGTCTGCCTAGTTCCTAACCCTCAATGTATGCACTGTACAATTAAATATGTACCCTATTAGTGTATACATCTTGAAGTTACCATGCATTACGAACCTTTCAAGTCATGCTAATCATTTATTTTTTTCACTTTAAAAAAATTATTGCACACATATTCAACACTAAATAATCTAAAAATTTACTATCAATGCTATTATCTATTGTTCGTACTGCTTAGGCTTTCAGTGAAGTGGACCACTTGACACTCGCGCTAAAGTATGTATTATTGTGTATAAAATATGACCTCCGACACCAGCGTGAAACCAGAAAGCCGGAAGAGATCATTTACTTTATCTGTTCTAGATTCAGTGATGTGGTATACTGTGCTGGCCTGTAACCTGTAGCCGGCCCACTGCCGTGTACTTAGCCTATAGCTGGCCCTTCAGTGCGATCTTATCCTGTGACGGGCCTACAGGTGTGGCCTCATAACTTTAGTTGGCCCACCAGTGGAGACATCATGTGGGTAACCCACTGATAGGGTTATAGCTTATAACAGGTCCACTTGTGTGTTTTTGGCCCACCTATGTGGTTTCATCCAGTTGTTGGCCCGCTTATGTGGTTTTATCAAGTTGTTGGCCCGCTTATGTGGTTTTATCCAGTTGTTGGCCCGCTTATGTGGTTACATCCAGTAGCTGGCCCGCCTATGTGGTTTCATCCGGTAGCTGGCCCACCTATGTGGTTTCTTCCTATAGGTGACCGATTTTAACCTATAGCTGATCCACCAGTCTGGTCTTAGCCTATAACTATAGCTTAGTCTATAACTGGTCATTAACGTAGTCAATAACTGACCCACCGGTGTTGTCTCAGCCTATAACTGGTCCACCGAAAGGGGTCTTAATTAACCTAAAACTGGCCCACCGGGAGGTGAGGTGTCTAAATTAAAGACTCTCTTGAGTGTTGTGACCTTCGATACGAAGTATGGCACGGAGGCTTTATCTTCGACGCTCCTTGTCTTGAGGCAGAATACACAGAGTGGGAAGCCATAAAAGTCACTGAACGGATTTAATTTACCGAAAGGTAATCCAGAACTTGGTCTTAAATATCGTACCATAATGTGAATACTACAAAAAAAAATTAAGAAAGAAAATTAACCGTACGACAAACAGCCTACATAATTTTTTTATCTTAAAGTCAGTGCGTCTAGGAATGACTTTAAAAAACTTTCATTTTTTTTACTTTATCTTTAGTAGCAGTAGTTTAGTGATGGGAAATTTGTGTGTGCATCCTCGGACATCAGGGAAGGAAACTTTTGGTTTCAGCCGGGAATAACGTCACTGTTGCTAATCTGATTGTGCACCGTTCCTCTGTGGGACAGTTTACATTTTAGACTAATTTCAAATCAGTGGACGCAGTTTTATATTTAAATAGGATAAATACAGATTTTTATAGATTCTTCCAATGTACTTATATATCGTTAATGTGGCTAAATTATCAAAAAATGAACAGCGTTTAAGTTGCGAGATTTTTAAGTATTTCTTCAGACAGGAGACGAGTCAGCAATCGAAACTTAGTATTGCCAATATATAGTAATATTCCTTTAAATCTGCTATGTTATTGTGATTTTAATAAACCTTAATACCTCTCAGATCCTGAATGAAGAAGCAAAATCTGCACTTTTAAAAGTATATTTTCTTTTTAGAAGCAACACTCTTTTAAACCTTTTACAAATTACTTTCTGATATGCTTTTGAAAGATAAGAAAATTATGCACAGTTTATTACTATAATTATGTTGCTTAGTAACGGTCAGTATAATTCATATATATATATATATATATATATATATATATATATATATATATATATATATTATATATATATATATATATATATATATATATATATATATAATTATAATTTTTTTCAGGAATACTAGAAAGAACTTTGCCATCGAAGTTTAAGAACTACTTCGACAACTTTAGGCACCCACCACCAACATGCCCGGCCACGTGAAAAAGAGCACGGGTCCCGACCCAGATCCCACCGAGTTTTTGTTCATCTCCAGGGAGATGAGGATAAAGGATCAATCGAAGCCTTATGATGCTAAGAAATCCTGTTGGGTTCCTGATCCGAAGGAGGGCTTTCTTGAAGGCTTGATTCAGGGCACCAAGGGCGATCTTATTACAGTTCTAGCCAACGGTGAAACCAAGAACTGGAAGAAGGATCAGGTGGGTCAAGTCAACCCTCCCAAGTATGAAAAATGCGAGGACATGGCCAACTTGACCTACCTTAACGACGCCTCCGTCCTCTACAACCTGAAGACTCGTTATGTCGCTAAGCTCATCTACACCTACTCTGGTCTCTTCTGTATTGCTGTCAACCCCTACAAGCGCTACCCCATCTACACCAACCGTGTGGTCAAGATCTACCAGGGCAAGAGGCGTAATGAGGTGCCTCCCCATCTCTTTGCCATTTCTGACGGTGCTTACATGAACATGATGGAAAGTGAGTGTCATTTTTATAATTTAAGAATTAAGATATACAATAATAATGTAAAATATTGACATCACTATCTTTATCCATACAGCAGAACCTATTTCTGATTTCTCTTTTTATTTCCAGTTGGTGATAACCAGTCTATGCTTATCACGTAAGTAATCATATATATGAACATGCGTACCCACACAAAAATACACTTACAAACACATTCTCAGTCAATATATAAAAATGCATATTTCGTAATAATACAAGTATTGGCACAAGTTTATTACTGAGATAAATGTCAGTTGATAAATTGAAAACCTTAAGAAAATTTTATGTAGTTTTTAGAAGCAATTCTTTGATTTTTATAACAATATTATACATTAAGGTAATCTAGTAATAAAACCATTATCTCTAACTAGTGCTACAACGTGTGATTTCCATTAACTGTATAATTTTATATCATCCACAGCGGTGAGTCTGGTGCTGGTAAGACTGAGAACACTAAGAAGGTACTCTCCTACTTCGCCAACGTCGGCGCAACGGAAAAGAAACCCGGCGAAGCAGAAAAGCAGGTGAAAAATATCAACAAACTTATGAAATTTTTCAAGTTTGCTTCTTAAGCTACAACAAACTTATACAATTGTACAATTATGTATATAAGCAATATGCAGTTCTGAAACTATTTTACATTACTGCTCCTTTTTTTTTTTTTTTGAATACTCATTAAAATAATTCTTGCATTGGGACATCAGAACCTGGAGGACCAGATCATCCAGACCAACCCTGTACTGGAGGCCTTCGGTAACGCCAAGACCACCCGTAACGACAACTCCTCCCGCTTCGTAAGTTTGTCGTTATCTTGTTCCCTTTTTTTTTTTTTTTTTTTTTACAGCAAATATCATTATACTAATAAACTTATATTAAAAAGCAAATATATTAAAAAAAGATAAATTAAAAGTTCTTAATTTTTTTTTACTGACTAGCGACACTTTTCAAATGATAATCGTCTCTCCCGCACACAGGGTAAGTTCATCCGTATCCACTTCCAAAACAACGGCAAGCTGTCTGGTGCTGATATTGAGGTCTACCTGCTAGAGAAGGCTCGTGTTATCTCCCAACAACCCGCCGAGCGTTCCTACCACATCTTCTACGAGATGATGTCCGACCAGATCGCAGCAATCAAACGTGAGTGTATTGAGATTTTTATTTTTATTTTTTTTTCTTTGCCGGTATTCTCCCGGCCCGGGTCTTTTCCAAGTTTTATACATCTCACTGTGAAGTAAAAGCAAATTATTGAGGGAATATAATAAATTATAGATATGTGTATTATCGTTTAATTTCTCTTATTAATTTTGGCTTACGGCTAAATCAAAATTCTTATTTTCTTATGACTTAAAATATCGTATGCAGTTCTTGTCGTTTTTATAATTCGTAAGTTAAAAAATATTAATGCTAATATGTCCATAACGTGTACACCGGTAATATTTTATTCAGAAAAATATAATTTTATAATTTTAGAAAAATCATATCTTAATTTTTTAATTCAGTATTCGACACATAATCTTCTAAACTCAAGATTGTTGCTGCTAAAAAAAACTATTTTTTTTACATTATCCTCTGTTTTCTTTCTGAAACCCATTACATGGTAACATTTATTGGCAAACCAATAAAATGTGAGCGTCGCTCGTCATCAGATAAGACTGGTATGAAATATTCTACTACGAGTTTAGAAACTTCTAAATGTTTAGATTATTAACCTCATCATTCTTCATTAATAAGGATTAAACATTGACTCTGAAGATACATTTATGCACAGTTTCATAACCTTAACTACTAGGATCATCAGATTTTGTGATGGGAAGAGGGAAGGATTAATGTGGATAATTCCTGTGGTGTAATGATATTTTGAATGATAATACCTCTTATCGTGATATTTTTGCTGATGATTTAAAGACAATGTTTTCTAACTTACAGCAATATGGGAGGAACAATTGTGTCTCCGCTGATGAAGCAGAGAAAACTACTGTTAAGTGAGTTGTGCTGTTACGTGGGACAGCTCTTACTATACATTGCTTTGAATATCGAAGAATTCTAAGACGGTTACTCGATATTCTGTCCCTTTTATTATTATTATTATTATTTTGCTTTACGCATTCAATTTTAAAATTGGTTGAAGTCCAAACCTGAGAGAATAATCAGCCGGACTTTGATTCTTCTGTTTATGAGAGATCGATAAGATCTTTCTATGTACGTGAGCGGTTTGACTGACTTTTACCACCTATTAATGCTAACACGGAAGATAGCATATCACCATTCTTCATTTGAGAAATTTCTTTCCCGAGATGGATTCCCAAGGATTACGAAAGAGAATACGCAACAAAGCATATTTCAATATTTAGATTCTTTACTTACACTATGACTTTTATTTGCAGCTTTGTGTTGCCTTTCCAACGACATCTATGACTACCACTTCGTATCCCAGGGCAAGGTCACCGTCCCCTCCATTGACGACGGCGAGGACATGCAGTTCTGTCATGTGAGTCATGTTGCCAAGTACATGAATTCCCTCCATACGTTGATGTAAAAAAAAATGTTAATGCAATAATTTAAAAAGATTCTCTTGTTTGGGGTATATTTCTTGTCGGGAAATTGCATTCGCGCTGTATTTCTCACTGAACAGTTTAAAATACAAACGTTCATCCTAGTGGAAAACGTCCTTCCGCTGACATAAACTTAATAATTACTTTGTGAATTGAGTTCGTATTTTGGGTATTCCTTGATTATTGAACTTCCTATCCAAACAAATATGAAATGGGATGATCCCTTGGTTTTAGATCGCATGTTTACCTGTTAGTAAAATGGGCTGACTATACTCTACACTTCATACATATATCGATGTTTTCACGATGATTTCGCGTCTATTTGCTTGAATAAGCATATTAGATATCTGTATTTGTGATATTTATTTGACAATCTTATCTTTAAATTTACCTTTACACTCTTTAGCGCTTTTTTAGTTTTCTTAAAATGAGATACAACTGATTAAATAATTATGTAGTGAGAATTAATACTCTTTATTTCTGTAAAGCATGCAAGTGATATAAGATTAATTAACATGATTGGTGTACAATATAAAGTCCCTACTCCTGCAGAGCATTTAGAACAACCTTATATCTTAAAACGATTAATATACATTCACTGTGATCAGTTTTTCATCATTAACCATACCATAATTTAATCTTCCAATTGCAGGACGCCTTCGACATCCTGGGTTTCACTCCCACAGAGGTTGAGAATGTGTACAAGGTCACAGCCACTGTCATGCACATGGGTGAAATGAAGTTCAAACAAAGGGGTCGCGAGGAGCAGGCCGAAGCTGACGGCACTGAGGTAAGATTTATTTAATAATTTATTCTGATAATGTTCTAAATATTTTTTTATAAAACATTAAACTATTCCTATAAATTCGATTCCAGATAAATAACCTATTTCTTCTTCTCTTTTAGATTGGTGACACTGTTGCTAAACTGCTTGGCGTTGAGGGTGAGGATCTGTACAGGAATATTACCAAGCCCAAGATCAAGGTCGGCGCTGAGTTCGTGTCCAAGGGTATGAACGTGGATCAGTGTTACTACTCCGTCGGTGCCCTGGCCAAGGGTCTCTTCGACCGTGTCTTCAAGTTCCTGGTTCAGAAATGTAACGTTACGCTTGAGACTGGCATGAAGCGTGCCATGTTCATCGGTGTGCTCGACATTGCTGGCTTCGAGATCTTTGACGTAAGCAGTTTGATGAACTTTCCTTAGCTCCATGCAAAGTACTCTACATTTGTTAACCATATGGAACTTATGAACTTCATACCTCTAAACTATTCATATATATTTTATAATTAATTTACATATTAATATCTGGTTATTATTATTATTATTATTATTATTATTATTATTATTATTATTATTATTATTATTATTATTATTATTATTATTATAGATTTATAGATTGAATTATTTTTGTTTATTATAACCCACTTTTACTAAATTTTTGGCTTGATGTACTAAGACAAAATCTTTTATAAAACAGTACAACGGCTTCGAGCAGATCTGCATCAACTTCTGTAACGAGAAGCTGCAGCAGTTCTTCAACCATCACATGTTTGTGCTGGAGCAGGAAGAGTACAAGAAGGAAGGCATCAACTGGGCTTTCGTGGACTTCGGTATGGATCTGGCGGCTTGCATTGAGCTCTTCGAAAAGGTGATTTTTCCAGCCAAGTATTTGACGGTAGTATTGAATGGAATATTACACGCATAAATCCACTTATTTATTAATAATAAACAGATATCATTTCATTATTACTTTCCCTCTCTTGTGTGTTGACCTGTCACCAAGGGATAAAGTATTCATCATTTGATGTTCGCGGTAGCTTTTGCTACATTTTTCAAACATTTTCTTGAATATCATTTCCTTTCCAACAGAAAATGGGCATTCTTTCCATCCTAGAGGAAGAGTCCATGTTCCCAAAGGCTACTGACAAAACGTTCCAGGATAAATTGAACGCCAACCATCTTGGCAAGTCCCCCGTGTTCATTAAGCCTAAGCCACCAAAGGCTAATCAAATTGAGGGCCACTTCGCCATCGTTCACTACGCTGGTACTGTCACTTACAATTTGTCTGGCTGGCTGGAGAAGAACAAGGATCCCCTCAACGACACTGTCGTCGACCAGCTCAAGAAGTCCTCTAACGAACTTGTCGTCACTATCTTCCTTGACCATCCCGGACAATCTGGTGGTGGTGACGCTAAAGGTGGTGAGTTATCATTTTAATTTAAATCATCCTTACATTTTAGTAGATTCTAATTTCATTTCAATTGCGTGTGTTATTTACCATGTAATAGAGCTATTGGCAATAGCATGTGCTGTAAACATTGATTAATAGCATATTATTCACCTCTTGTTAGTCCCAATGATAGAACTAATAAATATTATCTTTCTTTCCCCATGATGACTGAGACATTCCTGATTATTGTCCTTTCTTAAAATACAACTTCAGAACCTTTAGCTTACATTCTCAGGAATTAGTCAGATTGTTAATTCAACTACTTCAACTAATAGCTTCAAAGATTCATAATTTTTTACATTTTACGTGAGTCTCTTGAAATACAAAAATTATGAAATGTGAAATTGAAAAAAATAATAGTACAGCATATAAAAAAAATATAACAGCCTTTAAAATTAATGCAAGACAAATTAATACAGCCTATAAAATTTCGTATCTTTCAGGTCGTGGTGCAAAATCTGGATCCTTCAAGACTGTCTCCTCTGGATACAGGGTATGTATACTTTAGTAATATCTTACTGCTTTTAAAGATATATTTCTTAAACATGAACATATATACAATCTTTAACGAGCGAGGCAAATTATGTTGCTTCATCGCGAATAATATAAATTTTCCAGCTTGTATGACTGTATTCTCCATACAAATGGATTCAATAAACTATTTTGAATTTGAATGCTCCTTGTGTTTTCCGGATTCTGTGGACTTTCAAGTCTAGTGGGTAATTTCGCTGTACACAAATTTGTTTTGGGGTAATACCCCAAAAAAGTTTGCCGACCTCTGCATAGGTTTTTTTTCTGACTAGTTAGTATGTAGTAGCGACATACTAGTTTATAACTCCCTTGGGATCTGTTATCAAAACGCTGATATCTGTAGCTAGTTTTGTGCTTGTAGCATTTTCAATCCTGTTCAATAAAATATCTTTCACTTATTAAATATCCTCACAATATGGAAATGATACTGGCTCACCTTTCGCTGGATTTCTCGTAATTTGTTCCTCCCAAAATATTTTATACTTATCATCAGATAACTCCAGCTGCAATGTTTTCTCTCTCACAGGAGCAGTTGAACAACCTGATGAAGACCCTCAACTCCACTCATCCTCACTTCATCCGTTGCATCGTCCCCAACGAGACGAAGTCCCCAGGTGAGTTGTGGAGAACAGTGGCACTTCTTCAGTATAATTTAGGCACCGTTATTACATTACATATGATGCTATATTGAATATAGTTTCGCTTCTCGATAAAGTGCGAGACTAAGTCTATTCACTAAGTTTTATTCACTGAAATTATGCACCGTTATTACATAATCTTTATTTTTGTCATCTTTTATTCTGTGATCATGGTTCGTCTTGGAAATATTTGAAAAGTTGACTAGTAATTATATATTTCATTAAGAATATTCAAATATAGTAATCATTATCATCATCAGTGATTAGCCTACTGCAGATTTTTATGACACTGAATTAATAATTTATTCTGTGAATGAAAATTATTGTATTCCTGGAGGTAAATGTGTTTTGTTTCAGTTTCGTTAGCGAGAAGTCTAAAAAGCAAATTATTCGTATAGAGTATAAAACTTTGTCGTAACAATTATGTTCTGTGCTTTGACTAGGCGGCTATCTCTTTAGTTAAGTTGCACACATTTGTTTTTTCATTCTACAAAACCTGTTGCCGCTTTAAAGCTGACAGGAATTGACTCACGAAATCGTAATGACACGATTGCAAACAAACCATACAATGGGCGGGATTTGAACCCGCGGTCAGAGAGTCTCAAAACTCCAGACCGCCTATGCTAACCTTTCTATGGTGTAGAAATATACCTAGTTGGACGAATCTTATTGTGGCTAGCTGGTCCAGTGGCTAACGCGACGGTCTGGAGTTTTGAGACTCTCTGACCGCGGGTTCAAATCCCGCCCGTGGTATGGTTTTTATTAACAGGAATTAACTGAACTCTGACTCCCTCTATGTATCTTGAAGAATGTTATCATCATGCTTAACATGATGTACAATGTTTATCACTCAGGTGTGACTGACGCCGGTCTGATCATGCATCAGCTGACCTGTAACGGTGTACTTGAGGGCATCAGGATCTGTCGTAAAGGCTTCCCTAACAGGATGATCTACAAAGACTTCAAGCACCGGTGAGTTAAACTTTTAATAACTACTAATAAAGAAACAAGTGAGATAATTATATAATTTCCAAACTGTGAAAAACATTAGTCTTCATTAATTTACCCATCAGTGATTGAATAACTCTAGAGCTAGAGCAATATTGTATAACTCTAGAGCTAGAGCAATATTGTATAACTCTAGAGCTAGAGCAATATTGTATAACTCTAGAGCTAGAGCAATATTGTATATCGCAACTTTTTCTATATTAATCTTCATACGTTTAATGTGTGAATAAAATAATTTCCGTTATTTTAAAAGATATCAGCTGTCAGCCACCTAGCCTTTATATATTCGAATTTATGGATTGTTGACTGGCACTCGTTATTAAATAGATACCTGATACTGGCCTCAAAAGAGATGAGTGGAATCGCTGATAACAAGAAATGTGCCAAGGTGTGCTTCGATAAGGCCGGCCTTGATGAGGAGCTCTACCGTTGTGGTAACACTAAGGTAACATCAGTTATCCGTAATTTACTTCTAGCTTCACTATTTATACCTGTCTATTCTGATATATATATATATATATATATATATATATATATATATATATATATATATAATATATATATATATGTGTGTGTGTGTGCAGGTCATTCAAAAAGAATGCTGTGTTAACTTTAAAAATGTCATATTTTTCTTCCTTTCTTTTCAAACTCCATCCAGTTCTAGTGTGGCCTCTAATCATATATTAAAACTTACAGCAATTTAGGTTTGTCTATTTTGAATTTTAATTCACAAAGGTGACGAGGAAATATTTAGAAAAATTTATTCACAACTTACTCTGGAAAGGTGTTCTTCCGTGCTGGTGTCTTGGGTACCCTGGAGGAGATCCGTGAAGAACGTGTTGCAAAGATGACCTCCTGGATTCAGGCTTGGATTCGAGGCTTCAAGAGCCGTAAGTACTACAAGAAACTTCAAGACCAGCGAGTTGCCCTTATCGTTGTGCAGCGCAACGTGAGGAAGTACTTGAAAATGCGCACTTGGGGTTGGTACTTCCTCTGGCAAAAAATTAAGCCCATGCTCAATGTTACTCGCATTGAGGACGAGCTTAACGCACTCGAAAGCCAGGCTGTAAAGGCTGAGGCAGAGTACGAAAAGGAGGTTAAACTTCGCAAAGAACTTGAGGTTACCAATGCTGCTCTTCAGGAGGAGAGGAACACCCTCTTGGTCGCTCTTGAATCCACAAAAGGCGGCATGTCAGAGTTCAGGGAAAAACAAGCGAAGTTGCAGGGTCAGAAGGCTGAACTCGAGGCTCAACTTGCTGTAAGTATCTCATTCAAGCTCACACCTATTTAACTCTTTATGAAAAATACAGAATCGGTGAAGTTTTAAAAATCTTAGTGGTAATTATTATTATATTTTTATTTTTTTAATTAAATCAAATAACGAATTGAAGAGTCGTTAATAAAAATAAGTATATTGAATTGTTGATTTTAAATGAATAATAACAAAATAGATATCCATACAGGCAGAAAACTGCTTGTAGTATATATTTACTAGAAACTAGAGGAAAATGAATGATCAGGAAAGACTTACTGAAGCCAAAAAAATCACTTTATTCCCTAGGGTGTTAAAATCTTTGCAATGCACAAATATTTAGAGAAATTTATTCCATTTTTTCTTCAGGAAACCACCGAACGTCTTCACAAAGAAGAGGAAGCCCGTAATTCATTGTCTCAAGGCAAGAGGAAATCCGAACAAGAAATAGGCAACCTTAAGAAAGACTTCGAAGAACTTGAAGCAAAGATCCAAAGCCTGGAGGGAGATAAGACTACTAAAGATCAGCAGGCTCATACTCTTAATGAGGAGATTGCTCAGCAAGAAGAACTCCTCAATAAGATTAATAAGGAGAAGAAACACCTGCAAGAATCCAATCAAAAGTCTGCTGAAGATCTTCAGAGCATAGAGGACAAGTGCAATCACTTTAATAAGGTGAAATCAAAGCTCGAGCAGACTCTTGACGAGCTGGAAGACTCCCTTGAACGCGAGAAAAAGCTGCGTAGTGAGGTTGAGAAGGCTAAGAGGAAAGTTGAAGGTGACTTGAAACTGACTCAGGAAGCTATTGCTGATCTGGAGCGCAATCACAGAGAGCTGGAGAGCACGCTACAACGTAAAGATAAGGAAATTGCTTCTCTTGCCAACAAAGCTGACGAAGAAGCGGGTGCCGCGCATAAGATCCAAAGGCAGATAAAGGAACTTCAGGGCCGCATTGAAGAACTAGAGCAAGAGGTTGAGCACGAGAGACAGTCCCGTGGCAAGGCTGAGAAAGGTAAGGCTCTTCTCGCTCGCGAGTTGGGAGAACTTGGTGATCGCCTCGACGAGGCTGGTGGGGCCACCGCCGCTCAGATAGAACTCAACAAGAAGCGTGAGAGTGAGCTGGTCAAGCTCCGCCGCGACCTCGAGGAGGTGAACGTCCAGCACGAGTCTGCTCTCAATCTTCTCCGCAAGAAGCATAATGATGCGGTGAATGAGCTTTCTGAACAAATTGACTATCTCAACAAGATGAAGGCCAGGTATATATATATGACTATATTTTTAATGTTTATCATCCAAACTCTATACTCGATATATAAAGCAGACGACTTTATACTTATTGCTCTGAACATTATTTTTTTATATAGAATTAATATTCAGCTTGTTGAAATGTCATTGTTTTTGATTCCCAACAGGACTGAGAAGGACAAGGAATCCATTAAACGTGACGCTGACGATGCTAAAGCTGCAATGGACAGCCTTTCCCGGGATAAGGTAAAAGTCTAAAGTCGCACCTTCAGTTGGCATCACCAGTGTTCGATTCTTTGATAATATAGAGCAGCATTGTTGATATACCTCGAAAAGAGGCATTCTCCCTATTTAAGACTGATAAATAGTCTCACTAGTATTTTCCTTGTAATTTAGTAATAATCAGAGGTTTGAAGATAAATTTCACCCTAATTATAAGTATATTTAAAATTAATTATTTGCAGGCTGCTGCTGAGAAAACAAACAAGCAACTTCAGCAACAGCTCAGCGAAGTCAACAGCCGATTTGATGAAGCTAATCGTACCCTCAATGATTTCGATGCTACCAAGAAGAAGCTGGCAGTTGAAAATGCTGATCTTCTGCGCCAAGTAGAGGAGGCCGAAAGCCAAATTAATGAACTTTCGAAGTTGAAGTTATCGCTTACAAACCAACTCGAAGACGCTAAGAAGTTCGCAGATGAGGAGGGCAGAGTAAGTTATGTATGATATCAGATCTTAATATATATATTATTATATATATATATATATATATATATATATTATATATATATATATATATATAATATATATATATATACATATATATATATATATATATTATATATATAACATTAAGTTCTGTAAGACCTGCCTTTAATGCATACTTTAACCATTTTTTCAGGAACGTGCAACTATTCTTGGAAAGTATCGTAACTTGGAACACGATATTGATACTCTTCGTGAGCAGCTGGAAGAAGAGGCTGAAGGAAAAGCAGATATCCAGAGGCAGTTGTCCAGAGCCAATGCTGAAGCTCAAATGTGGCGTGCTAAATATGAATCTGAGGGCATTGCCCGCGCCGAGGAAATCGAAGTTTCTCGCCAGAAACTTGCTGCCCGCCTTGAAGAAGCAGAGATGCAGATTGAGCAGCTCAACGTCAAGAACTTGAGCCTCGAGAAGAGTAAGGTGCGTGTTAGTTCTGAACTTGAAGAACTTCAAGTTGCCGTTGAGCGAGCTCAAGCTCTAGCCATAGCTGCCGAGAAGAAGCAAAAGAACTTTGACAAAATCATTTCTGAATGGAAACTGAAGGTTGACGATCTAGCTGCCGAGCTGGATTCTTCACAGAAGGAGTGCCGCAACTATTCTTCCGAGCTCTTCCGTGTGAAGTCTGCTCACGAGGAGAATATAGAAACTCTTGATTCCGTCCGCCGTGAGAACAAAAACCTCTCAGATGAGATCAAGGATTTGTTGGATCAACTTGGCGAGGGCGGCCGCACCTACCACGAGCTGGAGAAAAATAATAAGCGTCTTGAGGTTGAAAAGGAAGAGCTTCAGGGTGCTCTTGAAGAAGCTGAAGCCGCCCTCGAACAGGAAGAAAATAAAGTACTCCGTAGTCAGCTAGAACTCAGCCAGGTCAGGCAGGAAGTTGACAGACGTATCCAGGAGAAAGAGGAGGAATTCGATAACACTCGGTAAGTTACTTTATTAACAGCTTCATAGAGTTTGTGACCACTAATGTATATTTCATTAGAAAACATTTATTAACAACATACTTCCTTTCAGAAAATGCCACCAGCGTGCTCTTGAATCTATACAAGCTTCTCTTGAGGCTGAAGCCAAGGGCAAGGCTGAAGCTCTTCGTCAGAAGAAGAAGCTGGAGTCTGAGATTAACGAACTAGAAATAGCTCTTGACCATTCAAATAAGGCCA